CAGCTGATTCCGACCTACTGAAGGTGAATTTTTCTACGATCAGCTGGCAATCGTAATTAATTTGCGATTGTGCAGGGCCGGCATCGAAACTGTTATAATTTTATAATTTTTTATTTTGTTTCAAAAGTCAAAAGTGTTATAACATTTTATGTTCCAAATGTCCGTAGGAATCTGTGGTATAAATATTAATTATTATAACTGGGACACCCTATATATTAGTTACAGGTGTCATGGCCGGTGGTATGATCCATACGTAGGGGCAAAGCTCGTCGGATGAAACTGTATGTAATAATTAATAAAATCAATAATTAATTCGCATTAATAAAAATAGTATTTTCTTTGTTCCGGAGCATTTAAGTTACATTACATTAACGGAAGTATACGATTTATTAGCCGCATACAGTTTCTAGTTAAACTACTATACTAAGGAGATTAAAAAAATCACTAGATGGTATGTAAATATGTAGACCTGGTAAAACAATGGTTTTACGTCTTTCAGATATTTTTTTAATTATTTTCTACAGTCAGTAACGCTTCTATTCAGATAAAGACCCGTAAAAATAAAAATTATGTGCTAATAAAANAGATTAAAAAAATCACTAGATGGTATGTAAATATGTAGACCTGGTAAAACAATGGTTTTACGTCTTTCAGATATTTTTTTAATTATTTTCTACAGTCAGTAACGCTTCTATTCAGATAAAGACCCGTAAAAATAAAAATTATGTGCTAATAAAATTACTATTTGTTTTTATTGATTCCCGTTCGTTGTGACAATCAAGCAGACCCATATACCACCGGTACTTTGTCAGTTCGGTTTCTTTTTTTTTTATTTTTTTTTGTAGTAAGTAGCAACGTTTGGAGATCAGGTGACGAGAGGGCAAACTATAGCGAAGATAGCGGGAAGTTCAAAATCGCAGACGACAGCAGCCAGCAGCTTGGTAATGGGGTCGGCCTGTCTATTTACGGATCACCACGATAATGGGACGACGGCTACGGATGAGGTATTTCGAGTTGCAGCAGCAGAGCAGCACCTTACGATCTGGAAGCGACAGATGAAGGGGCCTCAGGAGGCCGGAGCACCCGCAGAAGGAGCGGGGCGAAGCCCTGGTTGACCGCGACAGCTGTCAAAGATAGCTCACGGTGACAGTTGTTAAAGATGGCTGACGATGACAGCTGTCAAAGATGACTGACGGCCGTGACGTTGGAATAGGAGTGGAGGAGGTAAAACGGAAGAAAAAGGATGAAAATGAACCTTCATAGGGAAATACATGGATTTTGCGCTAGAATTGTCATTGCTTATTTACTAGTTACGATCGGTAGAAACATCTAGAAACTTCGATGGGATTCTTAAATGACATGAGTGTCTTTCTTCTCTCTTTGGAGAACGATGTATCATTTGTTAGGATTTCTCATAGCCAATACAATTTTCTAGAAAGTTCGACAAAATTCTTCAGACGTCGGATTTGTTTTTTCAGATGTACCAATTGAAATTAAATCGTACCATAGTTATCATAACGACTTACATGAATATGAAGAATTAATACTTAAAAATGAATGTGTTATTGTTCCAAAAAGTATGCGTAAAATTGTCTAGGCACAGATAAAAACTAATATAAAGAAATAGACGTTGGTTATCCAAATTTTGGGGTGTACCCATTATAATAAAGGGGGTTATCGACATTGTCTTTAATATACTGAGAAAAAATAAAAAATATAGTAGTAGAGAAGAAAGAATAATATCCAAGTAACAAAATTAATCGAAGCTCGTGGATATATTAAAGATATCATATTACTTTATTTATTATATTAATAATAATTATTTCGAACCGACATAGTATCATACTATAACGAGCACGAGTGCGTTTGTGTGCGATCGGGCACACGTGTGCGTCAACGGCTTATCGATTCGCCGACTAGCCGCGGGCGTCTTTCTTCATGTGCGCCGTATTTGTAAATGTGTGTGTCGTACCTGCGTTCTGGGAAATTTGTTAAACAGTTCAAAGAAAAAATAAACTATCCGGACGTTTTCCAGAAGGTTCCCGAAAATAAACAAGAGTATTTAAAGGAAGAGACGATCGCTGAGAGGAGGAAGAAATAAATTGACCGTCGCAGAAGTGAATCCAGAAATAAATTGACAGTGGTCATTATTTACGTCAAATTTGTAACTCATTTTCAGCAAAAGATAAAATTGTAGTAGGTATCTATTGTTAACAGATGAAATTTACGTTTCTTAGAAATAGAAATAAAAATTATAGAAATAAAAAAATAAAGGATGCAGCTTCTGGTGGTGGTAATTCTTGTGAAATTAACATTTATTTATACATAATACACCAACATCTTTTTACTATTTACCGTGTATTTTACGTATCATTTGCAAAATTCAATATTGAATTACGTATTCTAATGTTATTGTAGTGGATCCTCAAATACAACTGCATGACCGACAGTTTGCGACGTTGTCACATACTTGTTCATGACAGAGCTAGCTAGTTATGGATGTTCACCAATAACCCCATCCTCATATCAGAAAACATTAACCACAACAGCAGTAATAGTAAACACATACGCACGTTCATATTTTTGTTTATTTATATTAATTTCGGTCAAGGCAACCTAAGCACATAAATAACATGCTTAATCTACGCTAATTAGTATAAAATGTTTATTACTAATTAATAATTATTGCCAAAACACCGAATGAATTTAAAATTTCCCACCCTACTCTCAAAATGCCATTACTGCATATGTGAAATATGCTCAGTAGAAGCTCAGTAACTCTCACAAGGTTCACTATCTCCCGACGCCCTCTGAAAAGTTCTTATTAGCATGATATGTATATATACAATAGTGTGTGACTACACGTAAGTATATTTTGTTGTGGTAATTGCATACGTTTGACGTTTGCTTGTGTATCGGCCTTTATCCCATAAAAATACAACAGTAATCCCTTTAATAAATACTAAAATAGAACTAATACGTTCGAAAAGCTTATTTTTCCGGCATTGTTAACATTTTAAAGTGAAATGGATTCAGTAATACGTTAGTCATTCTAATTGAATTCGTTGGTTGTTTAAAATCTATTTTTTTATTTTTGTTATGGATTCAGTTCGTTTTTTATAAAATGATTTCTAGAACAATTTTATTAATGTGTTGATGTTCAAAATACATATCATTTAAGATGAGTAAACATATGTATTCGACTGCCAATTTAACAGATAAAGAACTGAAAGAACAAGGAAATCGAATGTTTAGCATGAGAAAATATGAGGATGCTATTAATTGCTATACAAAGGCCATTGTAAGTAGTGGGACAGAAATTAATAATTATGTACTATAAATTTGAGTTTTAGTAGCTGTACATTTTGTATTGTTGTAGATAAAAAATCCGGATGTAGCCCAATATTTCACTAATCGAGCACTATGTCATTTGAAATTATTGAGATGGGATCAAGCCTGTACTGACTGCAGAAGAGCACTTGATATGGATAATAATTTAGTAAAGGGGCATTTTTTTCTAGGACAGGCTTTGGTAGAAATGGAGATTTATGATGAAGCAGTAAAACATTTGCAAAGAGGTAGGTATGTATATAAAAACTTACTTCCAGAAAAAAATCAAATATATGTGGAATATGTTCCCAAATAAAATTATAATATTTCAGCATTTGATTTATCAAAAGAACAAAAATTGAATTTTGGTGATGATATAGCTTCAGCACTTAGAGCAGCCAGAAAAAAGCGTTTTGCTATTTTAGAAGAAAAGCGAATAGCTCAGGAAATAGAATTACAGACGTATCTTAATCGTTTATTAGTTGAAGATAGAGACAGTCAAATAACCAAACTAATGAAAGAGGAATCAGATGAAGAAGTCATTCAGGAATGTGTGAAGGAAATTGAAGAAAGATGTGTAAGTTATATTTATAATAATTTGGATACTCGATTAACCGGATTAATTATCAGAAGTCATTCAAAGGAATTTTTGTATTAATACATTACTAAAAAACATTGCTACCTTTTGCACGACTACACTACCACTAGACTACAAAAATATTCCCTTGTGGTTGGCGATCCGAATAATCGCGAACTTATTGTGAGGTCCATATAATCCAGTCTCCAATGTAAATCTATTCAATTGCCTGAAAATATTGTGCATACTTCACACTGCTTCTTAGAGAAATATTTGTAATTTATTAATTTGATGGTTTTAGAGATATTGTAACTTACTTACATATACCTGTGATGGTAACATTCTTTTTTATTCTTTTTTAACCAAATGATATATAAATAGATAAATGTTTATACTTCATATGTTTACACTGTTTAGTAATCAATTAGATATAGGTACTCAATGTACAAAAATGTTTTGATGCCAAACTTTGCACATTTAATCTGTGGTATAATGATATCGTTGTTTTCATTTTTTCTTAGTGCACCATTTAGTTCTGTATTAATTTTATAATTGATCGAAAATAATTAGAAGTATGAATGCAAATTAGTATGTTAACAGAAAAAGGGAACAATCAAATTATGTTTAAATTATAGAATAATTGAAAGTAAATTAGTTCTTCCACATAGAGCATTATAAACCACTGGTGCATAGAAAAGGGGAAGGCGTCTATTCTTTTTCAATAAAAAGTTAAATTTAGTAATTTGAATAAAATCATGTAGACTTTGTAGACAGAGAATATTTAATGTTGCTGAGAAATCAGTTAGTATATTCGTTACGTTCTTGGCCAGCAATGTATCGGAATTTTGTCAGATGTGGATTGCAATGTTGAATTTTTAGTTCTCATCTGCACTCTATAACTTGCCGATCAAATCGGATTAAATATCAAGTGGCAGTATGCAGGCAAATATCTTCTGTAGTTGGCGTCATACCTACTGTCACTTGATATAAGGAATCCTGAAACTTCCAAAAAGGCAATGTGTTAATAGAATATCTGTTTTGCAAAATTTAGATTTTTAAAACCATGAGATAATTTTCATTTAACGAATTGCTTATAAACAATATCAACAACAATAACAGTTGTAAATAATTTTTCTTTTACAGGCGGGATCGTACGTATCCACTTATACAATAAAATATGTATGATATTTTTCAGTATTGCTCTCGAAGAATCTATATTGTATCTTAGACGTTAATCTTTTTGCAAATTTAATATGTACTCACTTGCTAATGCTGTTATGTACAACTTGTTATGCATGACATGTTATTTTTGATTGTTTTTCAGGAAGTTTATACAAATGAACTAAATATGCTTTTTGCAAAAGTTGATGAAAAGAGAAGGGTAAGTATTATACTTGAATTATCAAATCTCATATTCAGACAGATATGTTTTTAGAAAAGGGAAGTACCTGATTATTTGTGTGGAAAGATAAGTTTTGAAATTCTTCAAGAACCAGTTATCACACCTAGTGGTATAACATATGAAAAAAAGGATATCGAGGAACACTTACAAGTATGTAATTGTGTATAACAAAAGTTATACTTTTTTATCATAATTTGTATTTCTAGAGGGTAGGCCATTTTGATCCAGTTACTCGAGTTAAACTTACTCAAGATCAGTTAATTCCTAATTTTGTTATGAAAGAAGTCGTTGATGCATTCATTCAGGAAAATGAATGGGCATTGGATTATTAATTACATGTCATGTTGATTTATGTCCCAGACATTCATTCATATTTAAGCTCCGCTGATTCTGTTTATTATTTAAAAAGAAAATCGGTCAAGTATTGTGTGCAATGTGTAGACTTTACACATGAATTTTTAATTAAACGATTTAATTTCAAATGTTTCTGAGTTTATATATATGTGTTTTTGTGTGTTCTTTTAAGCTAGCAGAATTAATGTGGGTGTTTAGAAATGGTGCGTGACCACAGGTCTAGTAAAGCTAGAAACTGCCTATTCAAAGAAAAGATAGTTCTTATATACATATTGTTTTCGATTTATTTTTAAGTAAATTAGTACATTTCACTGATTGTACACAGCATTTAAAGAAATTTGGAAAACAACAGGTTTCTGATTGTTTTTATTTTATTGTATTCTACAGGCCGATGGTCATTTATACAGGTATATCAATTGTACAATGTGATCGGTGTTGTAGCGTGTACATTAGTGAAACCAATTGGTATTACAAATAAAAATAAAAATAGTGAGTGTCGTAAAGAAACAAAATTTGCAAATTAAAACAGCAAGTGGTTGTATAAAATTAGTTATAATTGTACATAATTTTTTGCATTTTATTTTAAACTATGCAGTGCACATACCATATATGCAGAGAAATCTAAATCAGGTTTATTGAAAAATTGAGTAATTCAATAAATAATGGATCTACGAGTTATAGCCGTGAGAATGGAATGTTAATGGCATATCTCTTAGTTTACGTGCATGTTGTATTTGCAACTTTGCTCTTGAGTCAGGAATAGAGAACATCTTATATATTTTAAGCAAAACAATCATACCATGGTAATTGTCGGATGATTCATGGTAGTTTAGCGATAACAAAATTGATATTCACGGTCTGACCAAGGCGGCAAGACATTACTCTGACAAAACGGTGCTGGATTTACTCACTTTTTATAAGTTGCGAATGTTGAAAAGGACGCCGTATAATAACAAACCATGATAGATTTGACTTATGATTGGTATAACAGTATGATGGTTTTTAAATTTTTGAGGATTCTTGATGCGTCTTGTGGAACACCATTGTGTATTTAGAATCTGTCAGAAACTGTATCTTCGCGGGAAAGGTTGTTCCTAGCAATCCATTCTCAATATTTGCTTCTAACGGTGACAGTTTTTTTGTTTTTTTGGCAATAACAATCGTCTTCAAAATTGGAACAAAGGTAGACAAAAAATATTATTTCACTTATTATTTTACATTTTGATACAGGTTTGAACGATCTTTGAGAATGAAATTGGATGAAATTAGGTTTGACGAAACTTTTTCTTAGTATTGATTAGTGTTGCAAAGCACCTCTGCTTTCGCTTCCGCAATTACCGAAGTTCCACAGGCATTTTCACATCTGCTTCTGCATTTGGTGCCGCATTTTTATAAAGGAAGCTTATCGGAACTCAAAATCTTATTTCTCATCTTTCTGAAAATTAATATATCGGAACAATAAAATAAGTCGTAAAGATTTATTAGTTTTATCTGTGCTGAGCTAGACGGTTTTCAAAGCACAATTTAAATGGAATTGCTCGTTGCAAAGCTACATGTTGTACAGATACCTGCGACAGCTTTTACTGACCCCTCTATAACATTGTGAACGTATTATATTCTCATCTGTTTATGTTTATGAAGTATTAATAATGTCAATGCAGCGTTATAACTGGCAAAATTTTGTTAATAATAATATATTGTTCCTGTGCAGATAACTTTATAATAGTATAAGGCCTTAATTTGTTTCCTGCTATTTCGTATGTTGATATTTTCCAAATTTTATTCTTGTATTAGTTTCCTACTTTAATCTAAAAGCATTCAGGACTTTCAGTTCTTCATAGCCAGTCCTAAAATACTACTACAATTATAGCATTTATTTTGCATGGTATTTGGTCAGTGATGTAAATCTCAAGTTCAATTCTGAAGCCAAAAAAAAGTTCCATTTGGGATTATGTTGTTGATATTAACTATATTAAAGTGCTAAATGCAAAATTTGTAGTAAAAAAAATCCGAAAAAGGCACACGACCACCAAAATTTACAATATGCTTCTGTTTCCGCTTCTATTTCCGTTGGATCGTTAGTTTTTATTATAAAACATGATATAAAGATAATTCTTATGTAAAATTGAAGTAGTGTGTTTTGGCCGGTTCTATTACAAAATAAGGAGGAGTGTCACTAACCAGTTAGTAGGTCACGCGCGTTCACATTTGGTGTTGACCGAGAGTTAGGTTGGTGAACCTTATTCTTCACAATCGAGTGATCGGTCAATAGACCATACATGGTTGTTGTAGAATAAACAAAATAGCTCAAACCACAACGCCAAAACACGACACTTTAGTTGTCCGAAGCACTCAGTTCACTTCAGTCCTTGAAGAAGGTAACCTTGTTACCAAAAAGTGCTTCGGACAACTAAAGTGTCGTGTTTTGACGTTTGGGTTTGAGCTATTTTGTTTGTGTTTACCTATGCCAGTAACTTGATGGGACGAAATAGAAACCACAGACTAATAAAAGTTTTCTTACAAAATGGGGTGGAAGATATCCTTGACCGATTACGGGGTAACAATATGTGTTTAGTTCCTGTCCGACAAATGTATCATTGACTTTATCCTCAGTCACCAAGAACATCTAGATCGAAGGGGAGTTTTGAACGCTTATAAGCAGATGATTTTGCTTGTACTTACTTGCTATCATAGGTAGCAAATGTGAAGTGAATTTTTGAAAATATGGCTGTTGTAATCTTCCCTCCAGGAAACAGATTCAAAGTTTTAAATATATACGAGATGATTCAGTTGGTCGATTCTCTTAATACGGCAAAGAATTTTGTAGAATCGTTAGAAATTTTAAAGGCGTGCTGGATTAATGCCGGTGGTATTTTCAATGGGGATCTTATAATTTTGGTAGCCGCACCTTTAGCATAATTTTTACCTGATAAATTAGAAGAGCACAAGTCAATTGTTATAAAATTCAAGAGAGCAAACAGCCAGATCTCGTGTCTGAAGGTTAAAAAAAAACATAACAAAAAAACTTCTAGTAAAAACGCTGAAGAAGAAAAGGGGGTTATTAGTAATGATAACCATAATAGTGAGATAACTGGTCATGCTTCAAAGAGAAAATCAGCAACGTCGACGTTTCTGTGGTGTTTTTTGCGATAATGTGTACGTGAACCAAACTTTCCGTTCTATGTATACGCCACAGACGAAGCAATATTTACACGTGATGAAAGCGTTAATTTCCATAATTGCATGTTTGGACAGTCAAAAACCCATTTCCAACGTCAGTTTTCGTTAAACATGTTGGTCGGTATTGTTGGAGATACGCTTCTGGGTCTATTCTTTGTTAATGGTAGGCTAACAGGACACACATGTATACCGATTTTTTAGAGAACGTGTTGTCGTAGTTATTAAAAGACGTTTCATTAGCTGTACGAGCGAATTTGTTGTTTCTTCAGGATGGAGCAGCCCCCCCCCCACCCCCATGCACACATCAAGTGTGGCAGCTATTAGACGTTATGTTTCCCAGACGATAAATAGGTCGATTCGGTCCAGTAGCATGTCCACCCCATTCACCTGAACTTTTATTTTTGGGGTCATGTAAAGGCATTGGTATACGCGTCAACTATTGCCATGGTAAATGAACTCCAAAATACCATTTGTTGTCGCCGTAGTTTGACAACTTTTTCTAGGAGCTATTTTTTAGAATTACGCAAACGTAAAATGATGATATAAACTGCACTTGGTTTTTAACTATTTATTTACAAGATTAACAAAACAAATTGAAACTTAATTTATGTAGAGTGGACTGTACAAAATTGAAAATGAATGAAAATAGAACACGAACCGAAAGAGCGAAAGATTGATTAAACTGAAGATCAAATTGCAACTGAGTGAAAAAATTAATAAACTTTTGAAAATTAGAAAAATAGAAAAGTGGAGGAAATAATTTGGGGGTGGAATTAAATTCAATGTTGAATAGGTTGATTGGTTGAAAAAAAAAATAGAAAAAGGTTAATTGTTATGAGAGGAAGACAGATATACAGAGGGGTAGAAATATAGTGGGAGTGCCAGAAGGGCATTAGCCGGTACTTGTGGTATCAACACACGTGCAACGCGTCTTCGGAAATTTATCGTTTGCCTCGACTTCTGGGAAACATAACCCAAGGGAAAACCTAATTAAACATTATTGGGGTAAATACGTGTTTGAATAAAAGAACTAAATATTATAGAACTCGACACACTGGTCAATAAAATCTTTAGAACTTTGATGGTCGGCAAACTACAAATTCCTAAACTTACTGCTGTAAAATGTATACAAATGAAAATACTGCAATAATAAGAAAATAACCATTCCACTAGAAATATAAAGATTAATGCTGAAAAATATACAAATAATAAAATGAATATTGCGACTCAATACCATTACCTTTCGTGTAATTCGAACCACTCCCAATATATGTGCCAAAATTCGCAGCAATTGGGTACGCCGCTGTTAGTCTTGCATGACGGGAAATTTCAACATTTTTTATACACGATACGCTTTTATTTTCACGTTTACTTTTTTACAAGAAGGAAGCACTTTCGGGTCGCTCCCCGGTTGGTACTTGTTAGATCCAGATTATTCGTTCATTCTTTTCTATCTATCGCCTCGAACAACATCACGTTTTCTAAAATCTTCCTTATATCTTCATTATCTTCATATACTGTCTAAAAACCTGTCTTCCTCCACTTACCACTAAGTACGTTAAGTTCATGGCTGAGTCCTTTTCCTCATCGTATAACTACCCTTTCCTTGTAAAATATCTCTTATTTGGCTGCGGTGCTAGGATCACATCGCAGTCTTCTTAAGCGGCAGTCTACTCCAAAAGCTCCATTGCCCCCCAGCAACGATTATAAGTTAGTAGAAGATTTGTGATGGACATTTTTGGAGGCGGTTACGCTCGTTGTTAGCTTCTTTTTCTCCTCTTCTCCCCGATAGGGGATATACCGCATGCTATCAGCCGGAGCTTAAACATATCTGCTTCGAGTTACAGTTTCGTGCCTCGTGGCCCTCATCGCCACATTTTAGGCACAACCGTCGCTTTAGCTTCTTGCTTGTGCAGTTGCTGGATAGGTGGTCAAATTCCTGATATCGAAAATAACAAGGGGGTAAACTTTTCCAATCTGTACGAACATCAAACGACTCAGAGTCTCTTTTTTTAGAGTAGTTCCTGCCCCGTTTGCTTCTTAATGAGCAGGGTGACGGCATATTCTCCGGGAGGTCTAGTTTGACCCTCATTATGGTACATAGATCCCCTTTGGTTGTCGCTAGCGCCTTACCAGTGACCTGGTCTAGTTCAAGGTCAAGTAGTCTTATGAAGCTTCTACCGTTTCTAACGCCAAGAGCATCGACAGGGTTCTAAGTAATACCCTGTCTCTCCGAAAATCTCCAGCTCTCAGACAGTTGGGTCGCAAGCTCCAGATTTTTCCCCGCTCTGTCCAAGTCCACAGCCAAATTCGTTGTATTTTCAGGTCTATCCTCATGGCGGTTCCGAGTGGAGAGGCAGACCTGAGACCCCTCCCCGTCACTACATACACTATTCGAATTACTTTCCATGTAAAATTTATCCGGAGAAGTCTTTCCCTCTATGGGCTGGAGATACACCAAGAAGGTAATTATTCTATTTATTTACACAACTGTTGATATATCACTATTCACTGCGCTATTTATTTCACTGCTGTCACTGTCAATTTATTTCTTGATTAACTTCTGCAACGGTCAATTTATTTCGACTCCACTTCGGCGATCGTCTCTTCCTTTAAATAGTCCTGCTTCCTTCCGGGAAAGTCATCACAAAGTCATCTTTCGAGCCGTCCGGAAAAGTTTCTTTTTTCTTTGAATTGAATTTCATATATTCGAGGAAGGGGTGGGGCTGTTTCACAGCTTAACCTAATCTTACAGTAATTTTTGATTGCTCAAATGTCGACCAATTTTAAAACGTACGAAGAATTGGTGTTTTATATGTATGGGGGAAGGAGGTTGTTTTACACTAGCATTTAATCCCATTCGAATTTTACTCAACCACTCCAAATACGAAAAGTCGGTTTTAGACTCTACATTTAGAAGTGCATCTGCAAGCCCCCGAAAATTTCAGCCACTACGTATTTTCATTTATTGAATTATTCTTATTTACTCTACTAACCCTGTTACTTTCGAGAATTCGTCACGTGCAACTACTTCATATTCGTTGCCATAATGAGTCGCAACACTACAGTAAATGTTGAATATAATAAATCTAATAAGCGTAATTTACAATTTTTGCCAAAATTAGACGATGTTATTCCGTTGCTGCGTTCGGTTATCCCATTGGTTATTTCAGTATTGGAAATTTGATTCGCAGATACTTGAATGTGTGTCTATAAGAAATGTTTCACTTTTTCTGCGTACTTAGCAGGACACATGTCCGTCTGTAAAATTTCTGGACCATAGCCTGGCCCAACGAGCGGTGTAGGATTTTTATTGCGCTTCTTTATTTTCCTGAATAAAGTTTGGCTGCACTTGTATTTATCCCACAAAGTCATCTTTCGGGCTGTACTTGCCTGGACTTCCTTTTATGACCGCACGATGGAGTATGTTCGTTCGCAATTAAAAGAAACACCTACCGTTTCCCAGCGGGCTTATTATGCTCCCCTCAAAGAAAATGCGTTTCTCCCTTGTAAATTTTGCTACCCATACATTATAACAATCGGCTATATTGGAGTCCATGTTCAAGATTAAATTTGACGCTTGCAACGATAATCTGTTGGTTACGGATAATGTGTTTTCCAATGGTAGTTACTAATCGCGGGCCAGAATTAAACAATTTTGCTTGGCCCTGTTGTAATTTTCTACATAAGTACTTGACCGTAATGCACTTAAAGTGTCTTTTTTTCAAAATTAAATATATATGAAAATATTCTGACAAGATTTGCTGATTTAAGTTTCTCAAATTGTTTTGTGTTGGCTAAAGCCGCATCCTTCAAGGTTGAATATATTTAAAGCAAACAGGGTGGCTCAAATTCAGGATTTAACGGCTTTCTGTAACTGGTGGTATAAACAGTCAAAAGATAATCCAGCCGTTTGTTTTTCACGGGGGGAAGGTCCCGCAGAGTTAAAAAACATTGACTTTATAGTTTGATAGTTTTAAGATTAACAAAAAATTTTCGCGCTTTACAAAATTAAAAAGAGTTTTAGGTTACTATTTATGCTTTCTTAATAATATTAAGACTGGAACTACTAAATTTAAGGGTTGCTTAACGGTTTTCGAATTGGATAAAGCTCTATTAGTAATAGTTAAATATCTACAAAAGCAATATTTTTCTGACGAAATCGCACAGACCAAGAATAATCAAACCATAAATAGCAGGGCTATTTTCTCACTTAATCAATTTGTGGATGAGTCAGGTATATTGCGGGTAGGAGGCAGATTACACAACGGAAATGTAAACAGAAGCATCCGATATTGTTACCATTAAAAAATTATGTTGTGAACATACATACAATTTTAGACAACTTTTAGAAGTAAGTTAGTTTAATATGAAATATTAATCTGAAAATTCATTTTTGAATTTTTTACCCACTACACGCTACCTCATTTCCCTGATTAATTTGAGGTAGCGTGTAGTGGGTAAAAAAATCGAAAATGAATTTTCAGATTTATATTTCATATTAAAATTATGTTGTGTTTCTTCTGATCAAACATGAACATTTAAAACCTTACCAGAGCGGTGCTCAAATGGTTTTATTTAATATAAGGTTAAAATATTGGCCTCTCAATGGATTACTTGAAATTAAAAGGGTTACTAGGCATTGCGTAACATATGTTAAATTAAGTCGTCATAACAAATAATGCTAAAGTTACCTTAAGACCTATTAGATATTACTAAATGTGTTCATCTTAAGTTAGTGACAAGTTTATCGTGTTGTAACGGTGAACACTCAAAAAATTCGCGCGCTTTTCGCCCCAATAGTTCAGTTACTCGCCGGAGTACCGCAGTGGAGCGCGCCACCCGGAACTCAGCGCTCACGCCTCCGAGCTACCCCGCTACGGCCGAGCCACCCTCTCTCCGGTCATCCCACTCTCTAGGAGAAAACAGATCTTTAGCTTGGTCTCGCTCTAACAGTTTTCCACTCCCTAGGACATTAGAGTAGCCCTTCCGGGAGAGAGAGAGCTAATTCACAACGTCCTATTCCGGAGCTTTCCCTTTGGGAACCGCTGGCCACAGGATATACTGTGTTTATTTAATAAGTTAAGTGCTCGCGTTCAAATAGTGTAAGACTTTTTGTAGAATATAGTTTGTTTTGTTGTGATAGGTTTAACGTAGCTACATGCGGACTCACATGGTTACAGTTATATGTTTTCAATAATTTTTTTTAGGAAAAAGCGAACTCTTTTCCTTACAATTTGGCGTTCGAAAACGTTTGGCCGACTGTCAAAGTTCGCAAGTGCGCGCTTTTACAAAAGTCCAAAATTCTAAACCAAGATGACAACCCTTACAAAAGAACAATTCGCCCGTCTAATGGCCCATCTACAACCAACAAACGCGACGTCACAAGCCAGCTTTGCGCAGCGTATCGCTTGCTTTGCAGACTCACGCGATCCACAGATGGTCGAAGAATTTGTTAACGTCACGTCCATCTTCAGAAGGTGTATGAAGATCGCCGACGCTGATGCCCTTGTCGGGCTACCATTATTATTAACGGGTGTCGCTGCAACATGTTGGCAAAGTGTGAAATCCCAAGCCACCACATGGGACCAAGCCGTGGGCTTAATAAGCGGGGATTCACTCCAAAGAAGCCGGACTACCAGGTATACGTGGAAATTTTCAAAACCACGCAGGACAAGGCCACGCCCACCGATCTCTTCGTGTGTCAGAAGAGAGCGCTGTACAGTTAGACATGGTTTATGGACTCCTTTACGTTCAAATCTGGGACCGTATCCCAAGGGACAGCATCGGGAAGTTCGAGAACTTACTAAAACAGGCGCACCTTTTGGAGTCGTCTTTCCGGAACCGCCCGGCCGATTTCGATACGCAACGGGAAAAACGCCACAGCAGAGAGGACATCAAGCAGCCTGGATGCTTTAGATGCCGCTACTGGCGCCGGTACGAACACAGCCACTTGAAATGTACGCAACTGAAAGGGAAATCAAGTTAACGCCGTCCACATCTCCATAGGAAATAACCATGGATCGGTCGTTTTGGACACCGGGGCCAAAGTAAGTATCGCCAGCCACCAGCGTAGAGCCGCGCTAGCGATGGAAAAATATTCGTTCCACCGCTGTTCGGCCTCCATAGTTCTCGCCGCCGGCCAGTTTAGGGATCAGATCACCGAGACCGTAAAGGTCCCTGTGTCGTTACAAGGAAAAAACCATCTGGACCACCTTCGTGGTACTACCTGGGGCCGCGACCGCTCCGCAATAGCAGTTCTCCACACGCCAACTTTTTTGCCGCTGAGTCCCAAAAACTTCTCACAAACACCAGTGACAAAAGCAATCTCCCCGCTTTCACCGATGCCTCGCCACGCATGATCCGTCAGGCAGCACTCATAAGATCAGCCCAATCCGACGCTGGGCCCCCATCCCTATGGAAATCTCTCCGGTGGTTCTGGAGTTGCCAACCATTCGTAGGACCAACTTTATTCTACGCGATGCTCAGCTTCAAGTCCACCGTAAACAGGGCCTCATCCCAATATGCAGGCGCGTATTTCCGCACTCCCCCCAGAAGGTAGTGCAGCTTGCTTCTGTTGACATTATCCTTCGGGAAAACGAGGCGTCCCAACTGAATCAAGAAGAACGCGCGGAGTTAAAGCGCACCACATCAGGACGGGAAACCACCCGCCTTACGGCGTACCACCCTACAGATTCAACTTTTGCCAAAGCCATTTTGCTCCAGGCAGAGATTGAAGAGATGCTGATCAACGGGATCATCGAGGAGTGTAAATCGCCATGAGCGGCGTCTCTAGTGATGGTACCAAAAAACGATGGAAGCATTCGAGTTTGAGTGGATTATCGAGGTCTCAACCAAATAACAGAGTCGGACGCCTTCCTTCTTCCTCGTACCGATGATCTACTGCAAAGGACAGTCAGAACACCCTTCATGTCCTCAATGGACCTAAAAGCGGGCTATTGGCAGATAGTCATCGCGGTGAAGGACCAGCCTTAGTCTGCATTAATCACCCCTTTCGGAACCTATTCTTTCAAGAGGATGTCATTTGGGCTCAAAAACGCCCCAGCGTCCTTCATGAGACTGATGAATCTGTTCAAGAGTATCCTAGGAGACGTGCAGATGCTGGCATACTTGGATGACTTTATTTTGCTGTCCCCAAATTTCCGCCGAAACCTAGAGGACTTGGACTTGGACCGACCCAAGTGTCTTTTCCGCTGCCCAGAAGTTCGGTACCTGGGACACATACTCACGCCTCAAGGCATCCATACCGATTCCAACAAGGTTTCGGCCATCCGTTCCCTGACTGCACGAAGAGACCTGTAATAACTGCAGGGATTCTTGCAAACATGTTTTTGGTATCGGCGATTCACAAAGGGATTCGCAAAGTTTACCCAAACCTTGAGCCGACTAACTAAACGAGACGTTGCATGGGAATAGAGTGCTGACCCACAGAACGCTTTCGACACGCTTAAGAGACGCCTGACGACCTCACCGACCCTGCGGCAGGCCGACTTTTTACAGCCGTTCATCCTACACACGGACGCCAGCCGATATGCACTCGGAGCAGCCCTACTGCAAGGGGAGGGCACGAAGGACGTCCCGTGGAGTACACCAGCCGACTGCTCACTTCCGCTGAGAGAAACTACACGACCACGGAACGCGAAGCTTTGGCCATTGTGTGGGCCATGTCCCAGTTCCGTGGACACGTAGAAGAATCGTCAGTTGTTGTGGTGACGGATCATCAGTCCCTAAAATGGCTAATGAATTTGAAGACGCCATCTGGGAGACTGGCCCGATGGGCTCTCCAGTTGCAGCCCTAGAACCTGGTAATACGGTATAGACCCGGACGAGCCAATGTTATCGCCGACGGACTGTTCCGACCGCCGCTCTCTGACTAAGAAGTTGTATCCTTGAAAACCGTCAGCGTGGACTATCTCGCACGGACCCCAGCTCTTACAAGGGGCGAGCAATTGAATGATTCTGACCTCCGAAAGATTCTAGAGGTCTTCACCTAACGCGATGAGCCAGAGATTAGACATTTTGCGCGCGGCTTCTTCGTATTTCAAGGAGTCTTATACCGGTACACCCCGGACTTGGACGCTAAGAAGCCCCAACTGGTCGTACCGATTCAGGACCGTAAAAGAATAAAAGAATATTGGAATAGTATCACGATATTCCCACCGCCGGATACTACGGCGTTGAACAAACATGGCATCGCATATAGATATATATATAATTTAGTGTTTTCAATAAATTTTTTTGGGAAAAAGCGAACTCTTTTCCTTACAGTGTGAAGCACTCTTATTAACTTTTAAGCGGTTGATCTCACTGAGGGATAATCCAACAACAATTTATAGCGACAACGCTACAAAAGGGGACAATGTTCCTCCTCTAAGGTTGCCTGTAAAAGCTGTCTGTACGAATTTAGTTCATTATTCCACGATTATTTTTTTTAGATGGTACAGATACATATTCCTTGTTTGCTATCGGAATATGAGATTTTTAAAATGTTGTGCTTATTACAGAGGATAATAAATTAATTCCCAAGTTTCTTTTTTATTTTAACGATATGTCTCCATAACTTTCTAACATCTTCCTTTTGTTATTGAAGTCTTGTATAAAGTTAAATTTACATTCAACAAAAACAATCAACTATTTTTTTTGTGAACTTTATATAAGACTCTTTTACATATAAATTGTAATACTATTCATATATAATATGCATTATACACGTTTTAATATTAAGAAAGCTTGCAAGCAATTTTCACATGAACTTCAAATTATGGCAAGTATAAAATATAGGTAACATTAATTTTTTACATAAACATAAAAACGCGATTGTATCATATACTTAATAATTACTATTTGAAAACGACTTGAAGTAATCGAAATTGAAAAACGACATTCAGTGAATATTGCTTGATTTTAATACAACTTACTTATCTTCTTGAGGAAAGAAGCTTAATTTAAGAAATACTTGAATAATATTGCTTAAATAATTGCAAGTGAATTAGAAACGATTTTAATTATCCTTATTTTCACTAAAAACCTAAAGAAATTATAACATTAGGCACAATATTGTAAAATACCATCACAAAATAGTAAATAATAATAATTGTATTCGAGAAGTATAATATTACGCAATTATCGCTAATCTAACGATTGTTTCAGCATATTTTTCTGTATACCATAACAGTTCACATACAAACATTTTAGGAATTTGAAAATAAAAATTTGACTCTCCTTCGCTATAAATGCAAAAACAAAAGCGGAAAATAAAACTTTCAAATCTCAAACATGACAAAAGGAATATATTTGTCTACTGAATTTGGCTAAATTTTGATTTATAGAAGTGAAAACGGTTCTCTTGGTTCTAAAGAAGTAAACGACAAGCGATTTGCAAATCGTTTCTGTATTAATTATTACAAAATAATGCAATACACAATACATTATAATTTATACTAAATGTAGGCTGTTTGGTAATGATTGCATACACTTTCGATCTCGCAAAAGTGCATTTTCCACAACAAATACCTAATTTTTGAATGTTATATGCTTAAATGTTACTGATACTTACTTAAAGTGGAGATTTGACCAGTTTATGAACTAATAGAGTATCATCTAATTTAACAAAATTCATTCATGTTGTTCTATTAATTAGGTACCAGATTTGAAGCGAGTTTGTAAACTATGATAGAACAATTGATTAATGTAGTAACTGTAACAAATGTTAAGTTAGTCGATTGAGAGTTGATTTCACCAGAGTAAACAATTCTGTTCTAACCAGCTTCAAACTAGTTTGTAAATTACTTAGGGATAAAGTGAGTTTTTAAATATAGCTAATAAGATAACATGTACGTAATTTTCAAACTAACTGCATAGTGTACACACGAGGTATATCTATAAAGGGATATATACTTTTTGCTGAAATAGTTAGTTTCTTATCTGAAGTAGTAAATTTGATTTTACGGAGAAACGCATACTGTTAGATAATTGCTTACATTTTAAACCAATTTTCCTGAATGCTAAGTGTTTCAAAAAACAGAAGTCATGAGATGCTGGGCTTTTTGAAGTGAGGCTTTTATTTTTGGATTCTACTTAAATGACAATTTTATTGATAGTGTTATAGTAAGATCAGTTCGCGCAGTGAAATTATAGAATTTTTAAATTAACGTTGCAACATCTAATGTTTCAATAAGGACAAATGNTATTTATTTAGTTCGCTTCTTTTCAGAATGAGTTAAATAATTTTTACTGTTTCAGTATAATACAGATGTATCCCAACGAATATATATTTTATCATTACTTCGTTACTTCATGATCTGGTATGGTACACAGGTTTGCATGTATGTGTACGGTGTAATACTTTCTAAATCATTAATCAATTCCATTTACAAATTTTCTAACAACATCCGCTCAAATTTAAACACAGAGACGTAATGAACATGATGCAGTATTAGGTGGGTTACTGCAAAACTATGTCGTACATAGCTTTGATTAAATGTTCTAGGTATTAATATTATAGAGGCATGAATAACATTGTCAACATCTATTATAGTTACGTGCATTTATAATTTATTTGGATACCTTATGTAACTAGTTGTAATTGTTATCAGTTGACAATTGTCGACAATACTTTTCAATAACTGCACTTTTCTATATATATATTTTTGGAGATTATATAAAGTTTAATAATGAGGTTGTTATTGAATGATTATTTGTTTTAACGAAACTAATAAATTATAAGTAAAATAAAAATTGAAGGTATAAATTATAAACCTTAAACTAATTAGGGTAATTTTGTAAACCTACTAACATCCAGTGAAGTTTGGAATATATTTATTAGAAAGGCTATGAGCATATGAGAAAATTTATGAATGTTTAATAATAATTATTATCTCCAAATTGCCAAGTGAATATTGTCTGCCAAATGAGATCCCTAGCAGAAATAAGATAACATTTTTATATAGAATAGTTCAGATATTGCTTGTATTGTAAAATGAAAATTACTGCATGTACTGCAAGTATTTGTTCATGTAATAAAACTACTGACAACATCTTTAGATCATTCGACGTCAAACCAAGTTAAACGCGATTCTTTCGCATGATAAATTCAAAAACATATTTAATTTTTTGTTTATACCACATTCTTAATATAAAACAAATGTAGAAGCAATTCTCAATAGGGTACATAATGTAATACCTACATAAGCATTCTCTATTTATCATGTAGCCTATTAGGCACGTCAGAATGAATTATGACTGGACTTATTCAATCATTGTCATTTTATTATAGCGAAGGTATTGAAAATATAAAGATTGTGGTATTCTTAAAAAGCACCCTGTAATTTATATGCACATTTAGTGAGGATAAAAGCTGTAATGATTTGCTTTGCTTTGACAATCTACTTCCACTAGCCTTTGTAGCATACATTAAAATGTAGTAGTTTACAACGACGGTTTATATTCCTGATAAAGAAAGTGTATTCTTTTAAAATTGTTTATTGGGTTACATTCGCATGATGCTTACTTTACTTTATTCAAACAATCTACGGTTAAGATGACTTATTATGCTTGTCGACGGACAAATGATCATTTCCTGCATTTCTGACCTGCATGATACTTATCAATTTTAAATATCAATTTAGATAAAAGTCAAAAAAAACATTTTCAGTTAAGCAAAGGACGCTGCGACCCAACCCGAAAACTCAATCGGCTGTATCTAAACCGAATGCGAATGTTAATGATTAATAACTTATCGTTATATAACAATTTATCTCTGTAATGAATTTCTTCAGGGTTTTTTGATTGTTAATAATCCTTTCTTAGTTTTAATTTATTTATTGTACAAAAGCTCAATAATGACTAAGGGCTGATATTTCATCTAAGGCTAGTTAGTCGTATTGTACCGTAAAGTGTTTAAATTTGAGTCGGAAACATTTAAAACAACAATTATTTATTGTCCCAATTGCAAAGGACTCAATACGATCCCACTGTGCGATTTTTTTTCATTGTCATTTTTCCTATCATTTTCAGTTTCTTGTTGGTTTTTTTCTATCACAACCGTTAAACAAGTTTCATCATTTTCTTCCGTAATACCGCCACCATCAAAAGCTTCTAATTTATTAGAAACTTCATTCAACTGAGTTTTCTTTTGAGTTTGTATAACACTACACCTCATCACCGCCCTATCTCTTTCTTCCAACTCAACTTCGTCGTTGCTAGAGACGCTTTGCAGGTCGTAAGTGAATTCTAAGTTCTCCAACTCGATGCATGTGTCTTCGTGTGACATTCTGCGGGGTCTCTGGTCGTTGTTGAAGTCTGCGAATTCAGGCACCGTTATTATGGGAATAGAGGATTGTGTAGTCAGTGGTAGTCTTGAATTTTCTGAATTTCCAGAACCTTGTTGAATGTTTGAGGTGTTGTGCAGGTGTTCCGACGTACTAGTACTTGGTAAAGACTTTGGAGGAGCAATCGACACCCTTTTCTTTTGTTTGCTAATTAATGATTGTGTAGGGTCAACCGGAACAAATTCTGTATTTAGTTTTTCCCGTTGCTCTGATGGAAATCTAAAGATAAATTGGCATTATTGGTTGTATATAGTAACAATATAAAAGTACGGTATATATCTAAATACATAGATCACTGATGAAACAAATACTAGTAGTTCCGACCGAAACTGGTTTTTACGACCTAAACCGAAACCGAAACCGAATTTCGGCAACGGTCTCAGTTTCGGCCGAAACCGAAACTTCCTTATAAGGATCATGCTTTGAGAGAAAAATAAAGAATACGTTATTATAATCAGTCAGTTTCATTTTTTTTATCTTTAAATCACTTAGCTCTGCAGTCTTTGACATTTTCACTTATTGGTAATCAAATCAAAATCAACATAACAACCCCTCATTTAAGGAAATACTTTAATTGCGCCTTAAAAATACTTAAAATAAGTGAGATGTTTATTTGAGTAAGTATAGTAGACTAGACTCATTTTTCTTTTGAAGATTATTCATGCTTTTTTTTATATAATAAACATAAATTAATAGGTATAGGAACTTAATATTTAAGTAATAAACAAAACAAAATAATTCACTTTTATCTTAATTAAGAACAAATTAACTTCTTCTAAACTTAATTCGTCATGTTGAACGACACTAAACTTCAACAGAAACGAAAGGTAAACGACTAATTTAACGCGCCGAACATGACCGAGCGAAACCGAAACTAGTTTTTTTGCCGAAACTCGACCGAAACCGAAACCGAACTTTCGGTCGGACACTAGATACTAGCGAAAAACTTATGTTTATAAAGATCATTACACTAGCCGATTGCAATATTGTTAATCGATGTAACGAAATCATTTACATACATTCTTTATTTTACACTAAGTATAATATTCAAATAATTAATCGCTATTCAAAATTGAACGTTTATCTAAATTTAATTAATCAGAACTTTCGTTACACAAGCAATACTGAATTTTATTCGGTGCAATAGTATCGTAATTGTACGATTTTAGCCCTTTATGGGATTTTTAGATTTGTTTAGACCAACAGAAAAAGGAAGGAAAAATGTGTGTACGACGATAGAAATTTTAAAGAAAGTATCGAAACCTCTACTTTACGAAGAGATTTCTATTTTACCTTATATTTGCATAGTAATATCATAGCGGTATAAAATAAAATAAAAAAAAATAAATTGATACTGGGTAGCGCATAGACTATAGCTTAATTAAAAAATCCTTTTATATTATTCCAATAAGATATATTAATAGAAAAGTGTAGAAAAACCACCCGAAGGCATCAAACTCTAACGACAGTTGATTAACGATTATGTAAGAAATACTTATATGAGCTTACTGATGACTATGGATCTTGTGCCTCCACAAATAGACAAAAAATAAATGAGATCGACCCAACAATTACTAAAATAGGTTTGTACACGTAGTAAAGGTTCAAAATAATGAAAGTCACCCGCCCAAATAGTATAAATATTGAAGTAATCAAATTTATAACCGACTAAGAAGATGAGGAACTATTTCTAATGAGGATTACACTTTTCATTGTAATTCATCAATTAGATGGCATCTCTTTTTTTCCCTAGAAATCGTCATTTATTACCGTGCCAAAGGAGGTCCCCGCTTCACTCTAGGATGACTGTAGTAAAATTAGCCTCATGTCTTACGTTTTAAAAATACGAATATTCAAAAATACGAATACTATCAGGATGAAATCGGGTTTAGGAATGGTCTTAGTACTTTTAAGACGTTGCTATTTTTGAGCAAGTGAAGGTAGTGGTGCAGAACATTAACATAGAAGTGTTTCGTGTTTGATTTTTGACTATAGAGAAGCATTCCATTGCGTTTTGATTGTGAAGAAATACGCTTAAACATAAACGTCTACTCGTAACAAATTGTAAATATCAAACTAGAAGCAGCAACGGAAAAAAACTTCAATCAGGAATAAAGTACAGCAAGGATGTATATTTTCACAATTATCTACTATTCAGGTTAATTGTAAGGCATCCTCACGAATACTGAAAAGATGAAAATCTTAATTATCTCAAAAACACATGTACACAAATACACTCACACCCACACTTTTTATTAAGAAAACAGCTGTAGAACAAGTTTCAACGATTAAGTATCCTTAAATGAAACACGTTGACATTTTAATAGTGGTTAATATGAAATATTAATGTGAAAATTCATTTTCAATTTTTTATCCTATATAAACTACCTCAGGGAGGGAAAATTTGTTGCTGTTGTCACACCCTCAGCGGAAATCGAATCGGTCTAAGAGATAACCTGAGATACTTTATAGTGGATAAAAAATTGAAAATAAATGCTCACATTAGTAAGTATCTTTAAGCTATCTTTATCACCAGTCGATGCTAAACTGTAAAGGTGAGATGAGGTGAAAAATTGTGTAGACTAGGAAGACATTTGTGAGTATGACCGCGTTATTCACGGCCCGCATGATCAACCGCAACGTTTTTTATTCTGCTATAAAATTCCAAAACCATGTCTTAACCCAAATAAGCAAAGAACAATAAATACTCTTGAGATGTATCTGCATCGTCTTAAGTTTCACGTACCGTGGATTAAAGCATAATGAATAATAAGGATTGTCTTCACTTGACGTGATTGATCATCAAACCCATTAGAAAAGGTTTACGATCAGTTGTAAAAGTTTCTGGCTAAAAGACATTAAAATATATCGTAGTATGGGTACACTTTGGCATTGCTGTACTTAAACTAATGTGACTATTTGACCAGTCAACTTTCGAAAGAAAGTATCATCATATGGAAACACTGACTAATAATTCCTTTATTTGATTTTAAAAAGAAATAATCACTGCCTATTGGTTAAATTAATCATAAAAAGATTTATGAAATGTAGGTAGCCCTTAAAAAAAATGAAACCATAATTCTTGTACCTTTTTCGATGTGGGCATGTATTCTTGAGTCTTTTCTTCTTTTTCCGACGCTGTTGAAGGCAGGTGGACGGGCAAGCACATAGCAGTACACGAACGAGGCAGCATAATAGGCCACAAGCAATAAGAGTAGGTCCTATTAGGCGTAGTTCCAACGTTTTGAAACCTTTATCGCCAGATCCGACGAAGAAAACTACAAAACCAATTGCGGTTGTGCCTAAACCGACGTAGAGAAGAGCATTGGCTGCAGCACTCTGGTGGTAAATGCTGAATAAATCATCTTCGGAATCTCCACCGTATGTCGTATCATGAATCTGAAATAATACTTCTACACCTCAAAAACCATAAATACAACATAAGTAAAAGCAGTGGTTTATGCTCAATCATAAAATTAAATTAAAATTAACATTATGTTGGTCGTTAGATAAACTTTACGATACTTAATTAGAGTCATTTGGTGGAAAATTATAAGTTTATTAATTTTCTACATTACCTACAATGAGTTTACGTTTATGATTTGTAATTTTAGTTCGGTTTACAAGGTGTCGGTGCGTCCAGGAAATAAATGAAATGCTAATAGATGTGCGCACATCATTCAGGATAATAGAACTGTGGTTTTTACAATATCAAAGACGCAATTTTAGCTTAGATGACGATAAAACGCCTGTATGGCCTATCGAAGCAGCTACGGATAAAAATATTCTTGCTTACAATAATTTAATTATGGACCGAAATACTTATGGATGAATGAAAGATTTATTGAAAATTAGCGCAGCAACGATTCATCACATTCTTAGTAATGAATTGAAAGAAAAGTTAGTTAGCCCTGTTGGTACCATATTTCATGATATAAATGCTTCAAAAATTTTATAATGGACACCATGATAATGCTCTATCCAACCCATATATCACCACGTTTCTCATGGAATTTAAAGTAAAAGTACTATCTCTTCATGTCTTCAGCCCGTATTCAGCGTTACGCGATTTTACTTTGTTTCCTTGTTTGAACAAGCAACTAAAAAGCCGAATGTTTTGTAATGATCCAGAGTAAATGTTTCAACGTTCTTTTGAGATGAGATATTCGCCACTTGGTATGAAAGCATGAAAACCCATGCAAAGCTGCTGATGGTGACTAATTCTAAAAAAATTAAATCATACGTGAATTCTGCAAGTTACCTAGCAACCGATATATTAATAATTAGTTTGGATTGTTTTGCTGTTTATTTTTTGTCTTATTATTCGTACAGGTAAGAATAATAATAGGAACATAACCACTTGAGCTTTTCTAAATCTTAATTAAAACACCATTCATGCATATATCACACATGCCGATAGTAAGAAATGCAAGAACGGAATAAGGAGGAAACTCTGAGATTTAACACAATTTACAAGGAATTTCAGCAGAATTTTAAACTAATTTCTGATAATGCGAGGGTTCAAGTTAGTACATCACTTTATGCGATTTCAAAGAAACTGACTAATCGAGATACTACAATTTACTGTGATTATTATATTATTCTTAAGTTTGTTGTTAATATAGTTTTTATTTTATGGAATGTAAACGAATAAAGTAACACAACACTTCTATTTTGTTGTAAAGCAAAATATCTCTCTTCCCTTAATTCTTATTAACAATGTCCTAAGGTTTATGGTCTTAATATAATTGGGTACTTGTCCTTTTTATTTTCCTTTTGGCAAGGAATACGTGAATACAATAGTTATAGAAAATAGAAGGCACTTCTTTTTAACGCGGGCTGTGTCAAATCTCCCTTTTGAACCATATCATGTATATCTACCTCCTTACCTTGACTGGCACATGCTTATTTTGAATTGTATTTTTATTTATCACATCTAAAAAAATGCAATACAGTAGAGTGAGCTGAAAATTCAACAAGATGATCCGGAATATAAGAACAATAGTATTCATAAGTACTTATCTAAGTAAAGAATCGATGTAACATAGGGCAAAAGTGAACATCGTTAAGTTATATTCTTTTGTAGTGATAAAATTATAAAAATTTTGTCAGTAGGTTATCTTCAGACGATAACAGCAAACGAAAATGTCAAGAATATGTAAAATGTGATGAAAGATTAAAATAAAGGAACCGAGACGGTAACACAAATTACTGAATTATACAGAGCGTAACAGAAATAGCAGAAGGTGATGGGGCACTAAAAATAAGACAATTATGTTAATATTTGTAAGCCCGAGAGTTCATCGTTTTCATGAAAAACACAGTTGAAACTACACGTAAATTCAATTCCGGTCTTGGTAAAGGAATATAATAACGCAACGTCGAGTTTAGTCAGCTGCTATTTGTCAGCATCGGTGTTGTATCTCTTTTGTATATTTTCGCCAGTTGTTTATTCTTTTAACGTTTAAACCTTGTATTTAGTCAATCGATTTGTAGTTCAATTAACTATTTCAGCAATACAACATCAGTCATTGGAATAGGTCAGTATATCACTGTAGAATAGTTGTTGTAGCAATGACTTAACATGATACTTATTTACTGGTTTGAGCCATATCGCCGCCGTAAAGAACGAAATCCTTGACAACCCCTAAAACAGTACTCGCGAAATAAGGGAACGTTGACTCCTCGCAAGTAATGAAAAAAAAGTAAGTAATGTCAATGGTGTGGCAAATTTTAAGGGGCAGTTGCTTCATGCTTATCATTTGTAATGAATGTAAGAGAAAAAATAATGCCGCACATTTCCTACCGCTATTGCGCTATATTGTACTATATAATATAATACTGTCCAAAGTGTCAAGCCCACTGTTATCTGTTGGACTTTCATCGGAATGTTGACGTATCTTAGGAATTAATTACGTTCGATGACTTGAAAACCCATTCTCACCCTCGAAAAAGCATACTTAACCTTAGAAAATTGACTCACACGAACTGTATTAACTGAAGCGTAAGTACGAAGTAGGCATCATACGTAAGGACGTCGATAATAGCGAATGAGTCAGGGGGGGAAGGTGAGAGATATCAATTGTAAGTAAAATAAATACCTACAGGCAACGGTCAGCTCAGTTACACTGGGTTTGTTTTGTCACAGCTGACAAAAATCAATTACAATTTTACTTATTTCAACAGAGTGGAAAACAGAAACGCATTCATATTCAACATACAACAGATATAGGTGTGCGTTTCAGTTGGAACCGTGTGGGAATTATATTGTTATATTTTTCGTTATTTCATTCAAATATAATAAGAAAATATGTTCGTGTTTGTCACGTGATTATATATACGAAATAAAATTAACTGATGCAATATTATCAACATGAAGTAAACTGTTTTGGAAAGTTCGGTTGATATTAATGGATTGTCATTCATTGATATTATTTTATATAAAAACTGTAAGATACTTTAATAAAATTATAATTGTTATGATAAAATATTATAATATTTGGAATCATTTTAGAACAAGTCGAGACCCTCTAACTAGCTGTCGTGAGGTTGTAATAGGACGGTTCTAGTTCTAGTTACGAAGCGACAGAAAACGAAATAAGAATGATGAAGATACGATTATGTGGGCGATATGGTCCTGAACTAGTGATTAATTAATAATAGTAGTGTTGATTTAAGAGTAATTACATAGTTAAATAAATTAGTGAGCAGTGAGAAAGTTGTTTTATAACTCGACAATATTTCAAAAATCTAGGCGCTACCATTAAGAGGAACTTCTTAAAATGTGCAGAAGTGCGACAAGATCGATGTTGCGTTTTAGCTTGAGAAATACCTGTTTTGAAATTTTTCTATTTTTATGAAACATTTTAGATTCCAGTGCATTAGAAATTATATGTACCTACATACTAAACTTATTTTCAGGTAGTCTATCCTATTTCAATTTTAACTCTGATCGTGAACTATGGGCAGGTTATAAAGCTCACTTATTTTGCAACATTTTCGGTAATACATACATTTTTTAGTTAAAAATAATGCAATTAATAGTTGTAGCAGAAACTAACTACTATATAATGTATGTTGTATGACGTAGTATGTCTTTTGTGAAAGTAATGTAATAACTTGAATGCTGAGAAATTCTCCGTAGGATCCATGGGTTAAGCTAATTTTGTAATACGAAAGAAAAAGAACGGTGAGGGATTCATTTGTGTGCTAGTTCACGAACGTGAAAATTTCGTAAACATTAACCTAGAAGTTACTCCCTTTGCTTCAGGGACTTTCGTGACACGCCAAGAATATTAATGTAGTTTTCCGTGACCGCCACAGTTTACCACGAGTAGAAATTATTTGCACCGTTTCTATTCCAATTGAAAAAAAAAAAATCAGGTACCTACTCCAGAAACTTCGAAGGGAGTAATACATCTACAAAGTAATGCATTAATGATATATAGAAATTAAATTCATTAGTGTGTTTCGTTAATTACTCAGAAGAATCACCTAAAAAGCACTTTTTATGTAATTCTTAGTAGTGACGATACAAATGCACACTGCGTTGGCGTTTTAACGAGGTGTGGGAGTTACACTGTTAAAGAAATAATTGTACGATACATTCCCACAAAATATGATTTGTAGAGCTGTCATTCAATGAATAAGAATATGTTGAATATAATAAAATAATTCGAAGTGGTCTGTATTCTGTCGAAACTGCCAGACGCGGATGGCGATTTCGATCTTCTTGGATATCATCAGCGCGTCGCAGGCAGCTCGGACAGAACACAGATCAACTTTTACCTGCTGTCTTAACAGCGCGTTTTCGAAAATACCACAAATGGCGCGGTAAACGCCATCAGTAGTACGATGCTACATTTTCGGATTACGTATGCTCCAACAAGGTCCATTTAAATATATGGATATCTACTTGCTGAAACGAATCCCGGCATAACTGCCAGACGCGGATCGCGATTTTGATCTGCAGACAGAATACAGACCACTTCGAATTATTTTATTCGATTATGGTAACGTACCTATCACGTTGAGGTTAGCTACGTCAGGATTCGTTTCAGCAAGTACATATCCATATATTTAAATGGACCTTGTTGGAGCATACATAATCCTAAAATGTAGCATCGTACTACTGATGGTGTTTACCGCGCCATTTGTGGTATTTTCTAATTGTGAATTTGATTTACCTTCCTAAGCTGTGGCGGAGATTTAGTTTGTCAGCTAAATAACTTTGTAAGGCTTTATTAAACGTTTAAAAAGAAAACGATATTTATTGATACTATCAGTGAAACGAAATAGACGTAAATAGTAAAAATCAGGTGGAAAATAATAAGCTTTATCAGTGTTGAAAATCATCAAAAGTCACAAACTTTTGATTTTATTTTGTATGCTTGATTTTG